TGCTGGCCCCTCCTGGCCCTGTCCCCGCGGCCTCCACCCCTTCCTGCCTGGAGCCCTGCGCCTCCTGCTGGGGCTTGGCCCCCACCCCCAGGCCGCCTCCGCCTGCCATGGACCCAGGCCTTGTGCACGCCGTCACTGACAGTCCAGCCACACCCTGGCACCTGCAGGTCACGGCTTCTGGGCGGGGCCCCTGTTGGGCAGGAGCAGAGGACCTGACCACACGTCCCTCTGTAGACTGCGTCCGCTCCCCTTCCCACATGTTGAAATGTGCACAATGGCCCGATCAGTGGCCACACCAGCCAGGACACCTGCCCCTCCCTCTGTCCCCATCTGCATCTGGAAGGGCAGCTGCTGGGGCAGAGGGTCCTGCCCAGATCCTCCCACCAAACACGAGTCTTGGGATAGAAGCCGCTGCCTTCTCGCCTCCACTGCGGAGGGAGCTAGTCAGCCTGCGCCGTGACCGCCTTGCCGAGCGCCGCGCCCTCCGAGCAGGTTTCTAACACACATTGCCCTGGCGGCGGTGTCCCCGGATGGGCGAGGCCAGGCTCTCTGGCCTCTGTCTGAGCTGCTCTTGGCACCAAGGATTGTCCAGGGCGTGACAGCCCCAGGCATGGACTCCCCAAAGGTGGGAGTCGGGGCAGGACCCAGGGAGCCCGGGGAGCCGACCTTCCCACTGCCAGACGGGTCAGCACGAATCCCCTCCCCAGAGGAGGAGCCCTTGTCCGCACCCTGGAGGGCCAGGTGACAGCGCGACCAAACCCCATTAAACTGTGCGCGGGATGCTCAGGACAGCACAGGCGCAGAGGCTGAGGGGAGCTGGCGGCTGGAGGCCCGAGGCTGGCGCCGCCCGCGCTGTGTCTCTACCTCGCCGCAATCCAATCTCTCTGCACGTTCGTGTTCATCTCCGTGTGTCTCTCGTAGGCCCTGGATGACCCGTGTGCGGAGTCGAGGTGCCTGCTCCTCCTGGCACAGCTGGCCAACAAGGAGAAAAACTACGGGCAAGCGCAGAAGATGATCCAGGAGGCCCAGCGCCCGGGCGGCAGCGAGGAGTTCTGGTACCGTTCCGCCCTGACCCTGGCGGAGGCGCTCCTGTCCACGGAGGACGGGGGCAGAGAAGCCGCGGTGAGAGCCGGTGTCGGCTGTGGCGGGCGGTGGGCGTGGTGCTCGGTGGGGGCGCGTCCGCGGAGCGACACGTGCACATGGGCGCTGGCGCTGTCCCCAGGCTTGCCACCTGTTCCAGAAGCTCATAGACACCTTCAAGGCCCTCAGGAGAGAGCAGCCCAACCGAGCGCGCGGGCTGGACTTCCTCGTCACGGACCTGGAGGCCAGGTAGGCTGCTGCCGGGACGCGCCTGACGTGAGAGCCGCGCTTGCTTCTCCCGTCTCTTAACGTTACGCCACGTCTCAAACCTGTGGCAGTTCAGGGTCCCGCCCTGGGACACCCACGGCCTTCAACACAGCTCCAGAAAGCTCTGGAAGCTTCCTGTGCTCCCTGCCGGCTTCCTCTGGGAAACAAACCTTCCACACACGCGCCCTGCCTGCGCGGCCTCGGGAGGCGCTTGGGGGGGCCTCGGAAAGAGCCTAGAAAGTCATTTCCTCCCGACGTGTGGATGTGTCAGTGAGGTTTCTGCAGCACCTTTTCCCACATCTTCCACGCGTCCTCACCCTGGCGTGTCCCTCGCGGCGTGTGCGTCTCTCCCCCAGGCAGACCCGCGGGCTCCTTGCAATGGACCTTTTCACAGAGCCGGCTTGTGGGTTATCGCCCATGGCAACAGAGGTTTTTGTCTTATTTTGGTGTCATTGGATTTCTGCTTCGTCTCTGGGAAGCTGTGTTGGTGGGAGGGCTGTTCGTGGCTGTTCCGTGGGCATGTCTTGAGCTCTGTCCCCTTTGAAACGTGCAGCTGTGAGCGCCGCTGGCAGCACCCGCAGGCCAGAAAATGTGGGTTTTCTTTTCTACTCGTGAGTCGTTTAGGGGAGTGTTTGTGAACGTCCAGGTGGAGGTACTGCCTGGCGGGGGGGTTGTTAATATCATCGCTGTGACCCGGGAACGTGGCCTGCATGGGAGTGGGTTTTGAGAGAGGGCTGCGGGTGTTTCCCCAGCACTGGGTGATCACTCGAGAGTGGGGGCAGCCACCCTGGGCCCACACGGGCCGGGGCTTGGACCCTGGACGAGGACCCTCGGTCGTGGCAGCAGCCACTGAGGAGGCGTTTGCCCCACAGGTGCCTGAGCCTACAGGTCAAGGTTGCCCGGGAGTCGGTGGACAACGAACCCCTTGAGTGCTTGGTGTCGCTGAAGGAGTTGGACAATCGCTTGATGGAAATTGAGAAAAAATTTATCAGTTGTGGCTACAGAGAGAATTGTGTTGACATAAAACTAGAGCGCGCCCAGGTAAAGAGGTGAGTGTCGTGGGGCTTCTGCCTGGGGCCGAGGAGCTGCCTCCGGTGAGCTTGGCCTCTGTGTGGGGTCGGGGCCAGCTGCTCTTTGCATGGAACAGTCCTGGCTTCCTCCCAGCACCCCCTGCCCAGCGCCTTCTGGCCTTGTCCTGCTCTACTGGGGCAGCCCCTGGGAGCCATGGGCCTGACCCCATGGCCAGCTTCCTCCCGGGTCCAGCCCCCGTCACCCCTGGCAGAGCCTCCTGGCTCCAGCTGTGCCCCTTCGTGTCCACCACTCAGCTCCTGGGGACACCACAGACATACCTCGGCCCCTCCCCACACACACCCCCACTGCACCAGCCACCCACACAGACTCACAGGCACACGTGTCCCTCACACAGGTCCACATGGAGGTCGCAGGTACCCACACCCTGAGCACACACCTGCCCTGCTCCCAGGGCTCTGGCCTCAGGAGGTGGTCCCATGCCCGGGACTTCACCAGGCCCCATGGAGCCCCACTGTCCCTGGCAAGGCCTCATCCACAACACCCACCTTGGCAGCCCACACACGTGCTCATACACAAGCATCTGGACCCAACAGAGAAACCCGTGTGAAGCAATGAGCAGTCTTTGCAGAAGTCAGGCTGCTTTTCTCTCACAAAGTCCCACCCAGATCAGGGCTGTCACTGTAGACACAGTGCACTGCCACCGTAGGACCTCGGAGGGTTAGGTGAGTCCCACCCAGATCAGGGCTGTCACTGTAGACATGGTGCACGGCCACTGTAGGACCTCGGAGGGTTAGGTTAAACCAAGCATGAGTGATATTGTGGAATTGCTTCCACAAATCTCTTTTAAGCACATAATTAATTTTTTATAAACACAGTTCATACTGTGAATACTACATTAGTCCAGCTCTTTTTGCTCTAAGATATATTGAAAATATCGTTACATGTAAAACATCTAATTACAACATCATAAGTATTAATAAGATGTGCAGTATAATTATACAAAAATTACGCATTTGATCAGTGCTAATAATGTAAGTCTTTGACATTGTTGTTCTAAATCCCACTCTTGATGTCTTATATAGGTTATGTGCCCAAAATGAGAAAGATGAAGAACAAAAAACTGCGTATTACTTGGAAGCGCATGACTTGGCCCAGAGAGCAGTAGCCGAAGAAGAAGAGAGATTCCACAGGATTCAGGGTTTATTGTCCCTTCAAGGTGTAAGTGTATGGCCTAGGTCCTTGTGCACATTTTTGCTCATTCTCATTGTCATGTAAATACACACTACTCTACTTCATCTGGAAAACACAGCACTGACTTCCACTTCTAGCTGAGATGAAGAAAAAGCAACAAGGTTAACCCCCCAACCGAAAAAAACAAAAAAAAAAAGCAAAAAAAAAGAAAAAAGGAATTTTCAAAACACTGATGAACAGCAACGCCTGAGTCAAGGTCCAGGCTTCCAGTGGCCGTGGAGAGGAGAGCCTGGTGGGGCCTGGACAATGGCCTGTGTCCAGGGGAGGGAGCTGGGGTCCGCAGGACAGAGCCCCAGAGAGGAGAGTGCTGCACAGAAGGAAAACTCCAGAGACGTTCAGGGCAGCGCCTGAATGTCCAGCCAGGGGAAGCTGCTCTACACGGGGGAAGGACCACCTGAAGGTTTTAGGAACAGCGCCTGCCCCCACCAGCCTGACTGAAAAACCTCATGACCCATGAAGCACTGGGCAGAGTAGACAGCACATCACCAATGACAGACTGGAGGCCTTGCCTGACTTGGAAGGACACTCAGCTGCGGAGGAGCCACCTGAGAAATCTGCAAAGGAAGCCCTGAAGGGACCAAACTGTTTGCAAATAACGTAACTGTCCCAGAACAAAGCTCAAGAACATTTTTTTTTTGTAGGAATACACAAATGCCCACCAGCCCTCAGAGTAAATTGCACAATGTCTGGAAACCAATCAAAAATTACCATGTAGAAAAGCAGGAAAATACAACTTATGGAGAATCGTCAATCAATAAAAACCAACCCCAAACTGGCACAGATATTACAATTGGAAGCGAAGGACATCAAAACAGTTATTAAAACTGTATTCTCTAGGTTCAGAAAGTAAAGTAGAGATGTTGGAAAGATAAAAAAAGAAAAACAATTGAACCTTTAGGGTGAAAACTACACTCTGTGAGATGAGGAATACACTGTGTGGGATGAGCGACAGATTGCAGAAGGGAAGACTGGAGAACTTGGAGACACAGCAATAGAAACCGTGAAATGAGAGGAAGAGGAAGGAAAATGAAGGGAAAAGAGAACAAAAATTAAAATGAACAGAACATCCGTGAATTGAGGAACAATTCTAAGTGTACGAACACAGGTGTGGTTGGACTCCCGGCAGGAGAGAGGAAATGAGAGCAAAGAGAAAAAAGTATTTGAATAATTAATGATTTAAATTTTTCCAAATTGATAAAAGTAAATATAAACCCACAGATCCAAGAAGCTCAATGGATCCCAAGCATGAGAACTATGAAGAGGAATAAAACTATAACAAAGTAC